AGCAGAATATATTAGCAAGGTAATAAAGGAGAATTATTACTATAGAAAAACAACATGCTCTATCATTTTTTCCTTACATTAAAAGTTGCTGAAGGACTGGAGACCCTTAATTTAAATTTCCAGAATTTGTGAGACAGTCTGCCATCAGTGAGGGAGGGAAGGGGAAGGAGTGAATAAATATGATTTTCAGAACAGTAGCTTATCAATTATATGGTCTCCTTGAGGAAATCCCATTGACCCATGATATCTGACATCCCCACTGAGTTCTGCAATACTATGGTATCCCTGTGCCAATAATGACAAGTTTTCCTTACCAGATTTATTTCACCCCAAAGCGCCATTTGAAAGGATCTAAAGGTACAAACCAGTAGGCTTCACCATAGGCGATTGGTAGGCGGGTCATGTGCCCCCCCCGACAGGGCCATCCCGGCCACTGCTGCTGCCAGCATCTGTGGGTGCTTGCCAGCTCCGTCCCCACTGCCGATGCTGCCAACACCGCCAGCAGCATCTGTGGGTGCCCCCCCAGACTCATGAGGCACTAGTCGCCCATGGGCTTCACAAATTAGTGCTGACCATATTAGTATTACTTTAAATAAGAAAATCTGTATGTGTGTATGTGTGTATATGTGTATATATATGTGTGTGTGTGTATACATACTCACACATATATACATACACATGTGTGTGTGTGTGTGTGTGTGTGTGTGTGTGTGTGTGTGTGTGTGTATGCCATAGGGTAAAAGCCTATAGCAAATCGCTGTATATTGGAAGTATAAAGGCCCAGCCAGATATTTTCCAAGCAAAAGTCTGTACCATGACTTCTTTGGACTGGAAAATGGGAAAAAGAGGCTGGATAGACCCAAAGGGTGCTTGTGCAAGTGCTCCAATGCATTCTGATTAGAAGGCATCAGAGCAGACTCAATTAATGAAGTCTGCTGGAGCGTGCTAACCAGAATGCTTCAACATACTGCAGTGTCTTGTGTATTCAGCATTCCCCACCAAAATGGTGGGGGTGGTCCTTTAATTAAAGTGCCCCCACTGCCATTTTGAAATGCGGGACATTGAATACACAAGACACTGAGGGCATTTTAATTAGAGCAGCTCCCAAGAACTGCTCTAATTAAAATGCCCCACTTACCCCTCCACTGCGGAGCATGTGTATAGGCACCCAAACATACTTGTACCCTGTGTAGCTAATCCAAAAATCAGGTTTTCCATCCCTTTCTTCTTGTCAGGCAGGAAAATAAAACATGAAAGAGGCCATTGCACTGGACTGGAACTGAATGTCAATAGGGCCTTGAAAAGAGGGTCACTATAATTCATCCATTATTTGGCAACCAATAAAGGAAGTTGTTACCATAACACCAGCACAAGAGCTTTTGATTTCATTAAAAGTGCACATAAGTAGATTTTTATTCTACCTGCTGCCCTCTAAAAGCACTCTAAATATTTATCAAGATTCAAAATATCTCTATGACAAACATGTTAAAGTTGGTTTAAGATTTAAGTGGGGAATTAAGGAGAGTCATTCTGAAAATGCTTTAGCAATACAGGTCCTTCCATTGAAGTAATTATACACAGGCCTAACTGTAAACCATTGAGTAGTTCTGCTGACTTCAGTGTAATTAGTGCTTTCCTAAAAATTAATGGTATGTCCAACTAGGGTAAGATGGGGACCAAAGCCAGCATTATATGTAAGTGATAATAATAACAACAATGGCAAAACTCACAAACAAGTTGAAACACTACTTGTTTTCTGGACTTCGTTATTCTAATCTAAATGGGTGGCATGGCATTAATCATATTTTGTTAATGTGGAACTGCTTTAGGATACACTGTGGCACATATTAACAATATGAAAACAATATGCTTAAAAACAGTTGTAAATTGTTTATATATTTAATCAACAAGAATTAAGGATATAAGACATTAAAACTAAGTAGACATGTGCTAGTGATAGTTGTTTGGGTCTTTCTCTTTCTCTTCATATTTTGCTTTATCTTGTTTAGGGTTGGGTATTTGACTAATCCAGGGGTGGACAATTATTTCGGAAGTAGGGCCACTTACTGAGTTTTGGCAAGGTGTCGAGGGCTGCATGCATAGCCCAACCCCGTGACAGGTGCCCCACCCCTTGGTCACCATCTTGGGACCAGAAGTCCCGCCCTCTAACCCATGACCTTTGCCCCCAGAAGTGCTCCTTTCAGCAAGGGGTTTTGCCATCTCGGAACCAGAAAAATACCAAATTAAATCAGAAAAAGTGAATATCTAAAACATTCATTAATTTGATTAAAACAAATATTTTTGTCCTCATTTACATGTGTTTGTGTAATATATACATAAAGGTGATTGCACAATAGCTAAAAATGAAGTCTTACACTTGTATGTTGTGGGGGGGTATAGGTTTGTGGGTGGCTGTGTGTGTGTGAGAGTATATGGGGTGTGGATGGGTATGGGGTTTGTGGGGGGTTGTGTGTGGGGGGAGGGTGGCAGGGGTGTGTGAGGAGTGTGGATGTGGGGGTCTGTGTGTGTGGGAGGGCGAGGGGGGTGTGGGTGCTTGTGTATCATGCGGTGTGTGTGTGGAACTCACCCTACAAACACACACACATGCTCTTGCTACCCCTGCCTACACACACACACACTCTCCCCCTGCCTACACACACACACATACACTAACCCTGCCTACACACTCATGCGCATACTGCCCCTGCCTACACACACACACACTGTCCGCCTCTGCCTACACACACACACTGCCCCTGCCTGCACACACAGACACACACAAGCACACACATACACACTGCCCCTGCCTGCATTCACACATACATACACACACAGAGCCCCTGCCTACACACACACACTCTCTGGCCCTGTCTGCATGCACACACGCACCCCCGTACTGGTTGGGCCCCCTGCCCCTTGATCCAGCCAGGCAGCCAGAAGCCACGTGGTGCTGGAGCAGGGCAGGGGCAGGAAGCAGTGAAATGGCTGGGAGTGGGGTGGGGCTGGGCTTCTACCTCCTGCTGCTGGCTCCCCCTGGGTTCCTCTGCCCCTGGCTCCCATCGTCTTTGGCAGGCAGCCAGGAGCAGATAAATATTTTCTAAATTTTTTAGGGGTCCTGTGGGCCAGATAGAATGGCCTGGCAGACTGGATGCAGCCCTTGGGGCATATTTCACCCACCCCTGGACTAGTCAAATAAACTTTCGTAGATTGGCAGGGGGCATTTCTGTCAAAAATTGTAAAAAAATGCCAATAGGTCTGAATTATATACAGAAAAAACACAAATTTTCCATTAAGAAATTTTAGAAAGCAATAAAAAAATCCTATTTCTGTCAAGAAAACTACCAAAAATGTAAGGTTTTTTTGTTGTAAAATTGCTCTAATCTTTGACTAGTCAAAAATATGCAGTCCATTGACTGGTCAGTAGACAATATTTGACTGGTCAATTAACCAGTTTGCCAACCCTAGAATTGTTAAACGGTTAACTCATCACAGCAAGAAGTGCACCCTCATTCTTTATCTGTGTATCATCTACCACGTTTTAGGAGAACTATAATGCTAATGATAATAATAAATTACTATATTATAGGCAGTCAGCATTCTACTACAACATGGAGCGAACCCTAATGAGAAAGACAATGATGGGAACACTGCATTGGATAAAGCCTGTAGTGATAAAATGAAGGAACTGCTTAAATCTTATGGTGCTGCTGACACTGGCGTTGCTGAGAAAGTAACTGAGGTTACTGGTATGTTGTCTGTTTCATAATGTTATGTTGCAGATTTATATTCTAGTCTTGAGGAAACAAATGTACCTCAAAATACTGCAGGTTTCCATGCAGGTTTGCAGATGCTGATTTTTCATATCAGGGACAGACTTTCTTTCTTTCTAGCTGTAGAAATTCTTTGGTGATTATTTATTTACAATAAAAATATAAAATATATTAAATTAATCTTTTATTGTTAGAGTTAGTGGAGTTTCTCAACAGATGTATCTGTCTCCTTCAAATTTATTGTTCATCCATATTCTCCCCTCACATAAGCCTTGTAGTTTTAGTAGACATATAGGAATATTTTAGTTAGACTTAATACAGTCTCCATAATGGAAATTGATTTAATCTTTTTTACATATAGAAGATTTTTTCTTTACACTGTGGTCTGCTTTATTTCTTTGTAATCTGTATAATTGACCATTAGACATTATTGTTATTTTATATACATTTCATATTTTTAAAATGATATTTGTGTTTTATTAATTGTGGGGGGAAAGATATACCTCCTTCTAGATCAAGAAGATCACCACAGAGTTGTTATGATTGCTGTAACATGCCTGATGAACCTTTGATTTTGCACCGTGATAAGGCTAGAGAGAAACATGATATGGTAAGTGTAGCAGGATGAGGTTGGGTGTCGAATTAGCACACTACTCTGATCCTTCATTTCTGCCTACGTGGTCCCTGGGTCCTTCTCCACTCATCTGCCATGCCTTTGCTGTTTCTAAAAAATGCTGGAAGGCTGCCCAGGACCCCAGGGGACTTACTGGTCTAGGTCCCACCACTCTTTTTTTCTTAACACTCAGTGCCTTAGGCTAGGGACAGACATTACACATAAACTGGTTTAAGTGATCAGAAACTGGCTTAAACCTGTAACAGAACAGATGTTCAGTGCACATAAACCAGGTTGAAAATGGCTGAAACTGGTTTGTACTAAACCTGGTTGAATGTAGTATCAGACTTAACCGATTTGGCTCAAACTGGTCTATGCAATGTCTGTCCCAGACCCTTTGTTGTTTTAAGATAAATCAGCCACCCCTAGCATCCCAGCATGCTCTCTTGGCTGGGTGGGGCTCTCCCTGGCTGGAACTCCAACAGAAACTTAGAGGCACAGCAGGATCTGCTTGGCTTCTTCCTGCCCTATCCCCCCTTCCCCCACTAGCCACTGCTCAAGTTGGAAATCCCCCCTCCCTCCCTCCCTCCCATCTCCCACAGCAGGGACCCCAGCCCATGGACCCTAGGCATATGATATGCTAGCTAATGCAGATGTGTGTGTGTCTCCAGTTTCACTGGGACAGGCAGACAGAACAGTGACTGCTTAGGGCTGTGCCTGAATTTTCTCAGTCCAGAGAGAATGTTTGTCTGGTTACAAAGCAGTTCAGTCTAGCCAGGTTAAACTAACCTTCAAAGACTGAATCAATTCAGGCTCAGGCTTTTTGAATGTCTGTCCCTAGCCTTAAAGGCTGTATTCATAGCTTCCAACTGCCCCTACAGCCACACGCATGCCTCGCAGGTGCCAATAATTGGTTATTTCAACGGGCTTTTGGCCCCAAGTACAATCTCTTGGTTCTTCAGACCCTTATCTCTTCAGGTCTTGTCCCTTTTGGGTGCTGGGCCCCATCCCTGAATCCCTGGCCCTGGCTCCTGCCTCCTCTAGCCATTTTTGCAGCTTGGGCCTGCCCTGGCAGGCTCAAACCTCTTCATGCTTCTCTGGCACAACTGGGACCTCCAAATCTCCCCTTGCTAGTCTCTTCCTGGTCCTCCAGTGAGAAAACAAAATGAAATAAGACCCCACTTTAATACAACATACCTCACCTTGGGACACAAAGGAAAAAAGGATCTGCTGTCTCTAACTCATACTGTGCTGGGTCAGGCAAATGAAGCCTGCTCCAGTAATCCACCCCTGAGCTTCATATTGCTCTGCTCCTGGAAATCTAATTCCCTCAGCACACCATCTCTTTCCCTCTCCTCATGAGAGGGCTCAGTTCCTCCACAGAGATTTCTCTTGTGGCTGTGCATTGCTTTGCTTTCTGATCATCTGCCACCTCCTCTGCTTTGAAGCAAGCCTTTATCTCACTCTTTCTGTTATCACCTGCAGACCATTACTCCCTGGCCCCCAGGTGTTAGTTTTTCTGATTATGGACTAATCGGTGGCTCCTTTCTTCCACCCTACCACCTGCTATCTGGCTAGCATATCTTGTCTTGCCCACTTGTTTACTTGCCCAGCAGCCCTTACAATTAATCTGATTCTGTTTCATAACAGCAGCTTCTGGCTTCCTGTTACAGTAAGTTTAATTATAGTGTAAAAAGTTTGTTATAGTGTTTTAGAGTGCAGTCAATTTCTGTTTTGTATGTATTTTTACCAGGTAAAATATCCTTGTAGTTTATGTTATGATCCAAGTGTTACACACTGGATAAGTTCATTTGTGTGTTCTGTTTCCTTTTCTTTTGGTCATGAGTCTTCTCCATCTGCACTTATTGTGCAAATATACCGTGTCATTTATACAAATGTACAAATGTGCCAGGATCCATGAAAGCCTCTTGCCAGTATTTCCGAAGTGGCTCCATGGACAGCAGTGACTTAACTTGATAACAACATGTTAATTGGAGACATTTATATTTTGTTGGTTGAAAAAACATTAATAGAAAATCTGCTGCTTGCAGACATTAAAAACAAAAAAAGCCCAAAAAGCAAAAAACCCAAAAAACAAAATGGCACTTTAAACGCAGTGTGTTCCCATGCCAAGCCCCGTGCATGTCCAGAAGAGGCAGCACCTTAGTTGGACCTGGCTCGCCCAATGTCTGTAAAGACTGGACACTTTAATGGGGCTTTTTTGGCGCTCTTATCTAATAACTGATTTAATCAGCTTTAAATAAAAGTGCCAAAAAAATCCCTGCTGAAGCACCTGATTTCTACAGACACTGCAGAGCGGGGTTGAAATAATGTGCTGCTTCTTCTGGAAAGTGCGAGGGGGTTTTTTGTTTTTTAACGTCTACAGGCAGCCAAAATTATTTTGACCTAGGTCCTCTGCAGGGAGAATTCATGAGTCTACAGCAGCTCCAATAACAGCAAACTGTCTCTACTTCAGGCCATAGGCATGCTATGGCAGCAGAAATTGCTGTGGAAAATTCCCTTCATTTTGCCCCCACCCAAAATGATGTTATTAAAGAAGTTTTAGCACATATGGTCACAAAGAAAACCTTGAAAACACTAAGCAAATGTAAAGGGATTTGGTATTCTTCAAATGGCTCCAACTCAGTGGGTGCATCTACATGAGATGTTTACTACTGAGTTGACTAATTAACTGTGCAGTAAATGTCTTGGCTTCTACATGTGTAGGGTTATTAGGCTGGAGTAAATTAATAAACTAGTATTTACAAGTACTACACTGCTGGAGAGCTTTTTACTCTGCAGCACTGCACGCGTAGACACTGATGTGGCTGGCTGGGGCATGAAGGTGCTTCAGTGCAGGAGCTGCCTGCCAGCTAGCATATTGAGTCAAGCTGAAACAGCCCTGGGCTGGCAGGCTGAGCCCCTGGGCCCCCTGCCACCTGAGGTTGCTTCAACCCAGCTCACCATACTATGGTCCCATGCACCTGGGAGCAATAATTGCACGTGTAGATGTGCCCAGTGTTAACTGTTTCACTGTGTATCATTCTAGAAGAAATATCCACCAAATGTGTTTATCCCATGATTCCAAATCTGCCTCACCATTCTTCTCTACAGATCCCAAAATACCTAAATGGCCCTTGCCCTGTTGCCAAAATCCCCTGCTTTGTACCTGACAGGTTCTCTGATGCAGTTAGGTATTACCAATATAAATATCTTTGGCACATCAAGAATGGAAAATGTGGGAAAAGTGTTAAATAAGTTTAATTTAATATTAAAATAAACACCATAGGCTGCTGTACTGATTATGCTGTTCATTGTCAGATTGAATTAAATGCCTCTTGTTTTTATTTAACTGAATTAACGGCACCAGGGTGCTTTGAAAGCCAAGTATATTGTATCAGAATTTAGATTCAGTTTGTTTGTAGAATGCATGAAACTTTGTCTCTCTACCTTTTATAATACATTTTGTATTTGATAGCATAAGTCCATTATTACTGTATTACAAGATATAGAAGAGAAGCAGAAAAAACTGCTACTTTTTGAATTAAGAACCCCCAAAGATGCAGGTAAATGTGAATTCAAGTTCAGTTTCCATTATTGTTCTAATATCTATGATCATTATTCTAAGTAAAGAACTTTAATACATTCTTATAGAAAATCGAATTTGAGAAGTAGATCTGTTCTCACGTTTGGGTATATGTATTTTTCAGGGGTACTTCTGATCATTATCTGGGATATGTATAAAGATAAAAAGGGAAACAGGCTATTTGTTGGCATAAAGATAATACCAATTTAGTCTGAGCAAAGCAAGATGGTCAGAGAAGAACTAATAAGTCAATAAGAGCAACAGCTTACAACAGTTACCACACACTGCTCAATAATGCAAGTCTTTTATTCATAATTTGGTATGGGCTTTTCAGAGCCCCTCCATAGCCAAGACAAACTATGCATGGATCTGCAGAATGGAATGCAACAGTTTCACTGTAGTATAATTATAGTTGTGTGGCGGGGGGTACCTCTGAAAAAATCTGTAGTATAATTATAGTTGTGTGGCGGGGGGGACCTCTGAGAAAAGGTAAAGAAAGAGAAAAAAAATTATCAGGAAGAATGCTGTATATGACATGGCCTTTATATATATTTGAACTTGTAGGGGGGTTTTGGACTCTGGGTCAGATTATTCTTAAGAGAACACATCTGATGGATACAACTCCTAGTGCCTCAACATTTCTGTTGCTATTCAAGACAGTTTTGAGCTATTGCCTGGGTTCCACAGGAGCTCAGCTGGCAGAGACTGATTCAGGAATGCTCTTCATTAATGGATGCTCCCTGCCTCGCTTGTCACGTACCATTCACAGCCAGTACAGCCCACTTGCAGGCATACACGACTTATCAAATAATCATTCAACTCCTCAACAGAAGGGGCAGGATAGTTGTTTTCTATTGCTGCAGCCTTTCCTGATGTGATTTCCATTGTAGGGACCTATTATTTGTGTTTGCAGTAGCAGTAGCCAGTGTAAATCCAAACTGATTATAGCTTAATGTCTTCAAAAGTAACTACATTTGAAAGCTTACAATTTCTGCTGAATCCTTTAAAAAGCATGTGACACGTAAAATTCATACAGCCTTACAGAAAAAAGGGTTTAATAAAAAAGGTGTGCGATTATGTAAAAATGTATCAGTAACCTGTAAAAGTCCATTTTTTCAGGAAAGGTGAATCCACATTGAATATAGAAAAGAAAAGTTGAGAACTGCTGCTGAAAATTATCAATTTTTCATGTACTTGTAAAACCAGGAAAGCCTCGTGATAAGGCTGAAACAGAGATCTGCTCAATTTTATAAAATGAGAAAATAAGGAGTATCAGGCTTCCCCTGATTAAGGTCATAAAATAAATGAATATCGTCATCTTTATTCAGCCCTTAGTGACAAAATAACTGAATAATTTGGCTTCTACTAACCTAAATTGTAGTTGTTACTCAGAAAGAGGTATAAGTATCATCATCAATGTAGAGGAACTTTAACATGAAGATAAATTTACAAGGCAGTTAAATGCTGTATACCCAGCTCTTACCAGAAGTATGAGTCTGTCACTTTAATAAGTATAGTATTTTAACACCTTCCTTATTTTAATGACTAAATATACTGGGTAACATAAGAAAGCCACCTTCCTGTAGTTTTCTATTTTAATCTTGCAATGCTCCATTTTCAGATGTAATGGCTGATAGAAATTAAAATCTTGTACTTCCTGTTTGCTAATGGGTTTGATTATATTTGTTTATCAAATTGTCTTATTAACATCCATAGGGACTTGTTGGTGACCATGCTTGAGATATTATTGAATCTGAACCAGTTTAGACCTCTCATTTTTATGTTGTACTGTAGACCAAGGAAAAGAGGGCATCTAATAGGATCATTTTAACTTGTGAAATAAGAGGAGCACAGGGAGATAGCTAGCAAATTGGGTCAATTTTTAATCTATTTTTCTCTTTTGGTCTTTCATATACTGTATATATTTTAATATTTTATATGAAATGACTCTAGTATGGCTAGTATACATTTATTTTTATATCACATTACTTGGAGTAACCGGTCTATTCATATAATTCATAAAATAGTCAATGTATCAAATTCTTGCTTCTGCATTCTTGATAGAATAAGGAAGATGGGATTTTTAAAAAAGATTTCTGTATCTGAAGTAGGTGCCACATTTCTAAAACAACTGAGCAGGCTGAACTCATTTGAAAAAGTAGCTAATACAATAATATACATTACAGTGCAAAAATGTCTCTATACTGATTACTTTACCAGCGCTGAAAAGCTGAAGTTTTCCAAAGAATGGTTTCTGTTCAATAGTGATTTTTTTGAAGCTTTCATGGAAATTAGTGAGCCACCCGTGTGTGTGTGTATGACCTAAAGGTCATATATATGAGTCGACTCGTGTAATGAAGGGCTAGATTTTGAGCTGGTGTAAGTCAGTGCTGGTTTATACCAGCTGAAGGTTTGGCCCATAATGTTTTAATTTGAAATACCTGAATGATTTTTTTATAGCTCAGAAGTTGTGCTACAGAATTATGTGAAACACTTGGATTACATTCCTTCCCCAGTGCTGTGCTTCAGGAATTACCCAGATGTCATGAGTTATGGAAGCATCAGGTTTAAAAAAACCGGATCCCTTATAACCACGGGTTTAAATCCCCCTAGAGAGTCCCTTTAATGACTGTCTGCATGTTCTAATGTGCTTCCTTACTTTCAGTATTCAAGTTATTTACATTTAAGTTAAAGTTTAATTTAAATTGAACTTCACTCTTTGGAGAATTTCATCTTGAGTGCTCATATGTTATGACTCCTAACGTGCACGATAGTACTGCTTAGTACTATCAATATTTTCATTTTCCAGCTTTGCATTGGCTGCATTAAAAACTGTAATAATTGTAATTATTTTCTAGTTCTCACTTTAATTAATATTTTGGCTATGTTAAAATGTTGCACAGAAATGTATATTCAGAGGCTGTCTCAGATACAAGATACGTTGAATGGAATGCTTGCAAAACAGAAAGCAGAAAGAGACATGCTTGCTAAAAAATACAGGTATGTGGAATGTAAGTCATGCATTCATAAAAGGTTGTGGTGATGATGAGTACTTTAAAAAGCAATATTGGTGGATCTTTGTAGAGTGGTAAGCAAGCAGTAACATGTTAGGGACCAGGGCATGAATAGTTGGGGGTGGTGACCTGACAGATAGGCCAAGTTCAAGGCCGGGTTCTTAGGGAGCTGGGGGTCGAGATACCATGGTCAGAACTGGAATCAGGAGCTAAAGTCAGAGTCAGGATATGCTAGGAGTTGGAACCAGAATCAGGAGTCAAGACCGGAGTCAGAATATGCCAAAATCAGGAGCCCAAGGTTGGGATCAAAATTTGCTGGAAGTCAGAACTGAAACCAGCAGCTAAACCAAAGTCAGGAGCTAAACCAGTGATCCAGTAGGTGAAGCAAGGAAGCACACGGGGGCCAAAAGCAAGAACCTGGGTTGGGGCTGTAAAGGCTAGAATGAGTGGGGCCTGTTGCCTGTTGCCTTAAGGGACTGGCTGCTGTGATTGCCCCACTAGGATCAGCTGGGACCAAGGCACTGATCCAGGCTTGCTGCAACTGGCACTTATTCCCATGCAGTTTTAGGGGATGAATTACCCTGCTTCCCTGATTGAGACTGGGTGGTCCTAGAGCTCTGACTTGGCCCCATTGCAACATGGAGGCAAAACTTGGTGAGGCAAAACTTTGTGATCTTTATTCTGTCTTTTGTCAATGACTATTCCTATTGGCTTCAGTTGATTTCAGTGAGAGTTTATGCCTAGCGTAATTTTTAAGGTTTGGCCAGCACTTGCTGATAAAATATTTGTACAAATACATCATGAGAAATGGCCCCTTTGTCAGAAGCATTCTGCATGAAAAGTTAAACAGAGCAGGAGAAGGAGCAAGAACAAAATATTGGGAATGGAGGAAAATTAATGCCACTTGCCAAGGAGCTCTCAAAAAATGGAGAGGCTGAGAACGGCATGTGTGGGAATGTGCTCATGGCTGCTTTATGCCATCTAGACATCTGAATTTCTGGGCTATGGTGCACACTGAGCAGGAGTAAGTGGCAGGATGTACATCTCAATGACAGGCTTGGGGTCTGCATGGGAGACAAGTCCTAGATGGCATTCTCAAGACTGCAGAAGAATTCTGTGACAACACCAAGGACTGCATTCAGGTAACCTGAGTCCAATCAGTTCCTAGACCACAATATCACGCTTCATCTCATAGAAGATCATTCCTCTGGCATATCAGATGAGATAAGGTATTTAGATTGCTCCCAGACTCATAGAATTGTAAGGCTGGAAGGGACCGTAAGGGTCATCTGGTCCAACACCTGCATGAATGTAGAAATGTTGCGTCTAAATCCTCCCTAACTGATGTTTATTTAACCTGTTCTTGATAAGGCGGATCATTAGAAAAATTAGGTTTTATATCAAGAGGAGTTAACATTCTAAAATCATCCTTGTGAACAAACTAATCAGCAGATAAAGAGGCTAGTAATTTCAGCATAATCTATTTAGCATTCATTCAAACTTATTGAATGACTTTTGAATGTGGTAAATGAAACTGCTCTGTGGAACTGAAGTGATAAATAGTTTTGAGGTATTGCAAATGTTCAGTGTTTATTTTTCAAGAATAATGAGTTGCATGCAAGTTTGTATTTTCAATTTATTATTTATATTCTGAGCTTTCTATTTTTAACTTATTTAACTAATTGATCCACCCATTATGTGTGAACTAATATTTTTTTATGCATTTCTGTTATTTTTAGCCTAAATATGTTAAAAAGTCTCATTAGCAAATTATAGTATATTATTTTGCATATTTTAAAAACAGTATCTTCTTTTCATGGTAGTTTTTTAGGCATTATTGATAGTAAGAGGTTTTTCTGTTTTGACTATATTATATCATTTGTGTGGACACAGATATACTAGTATAAATATATTTATCTCAATAGAGCTGATTCTAGTTTAGAAAATGAAATAACTATATCAAAATATGGCACCCATAATCTGTTGTGTATATATATGTTTACCCTAAGGTTTTTACCAGAGTTATACTTTTAACTTTAGACAAGGACCCAGCTTTTACTACTGTTATGAACTATACCAGCATTTTGTTGATAGCTTGCAAAGGTACCAGTCTGAGCTTCTTGTTTAGATAAAACTGCTCGAAAATTAGGTCAGATAATAAATCGTCTGCATAATTTCTTTTAATTAATTTTGAAAGATTTTCTAATAATTAATTGGAATACTTTAAAAAATAATGTTTCACTTACATATTGAAAAGACTAGAATATTGTGAAAGGACAGATAATTTGAAAAATGCTTTTACAAATAATGAACCATGTAAATTCTCTCTGAAGGTTATTGTTAGGATATTCTTTATAATTTAAAATATAATGGTTTCACTTACTGCTATTTGCTGTGGCTTAGCTGAAGCTTGCTGTTGAAATCTATTTTCCTTACTGAAGATTTTATTTAGTAATTTTATTTAGTAAATAAAATTAATGTTTAGATTTTTTTAGTAAATAAAACTAATATGTATATGCCCACATTCACCTAGCATAACAAGCTGTGTCCAGAGTTGCTATCATTTTCTGAAAGGAAAGGCTTGGATAAAGAATAGGAAAACATTTATTTTACAGAATAAAAATTACTTGAAGAACTGCACACAGTCAATACTCCAGCCTCAGACCTCATGCTGCAGTAGGTTTGATCATGCAGAGCAAACTGTAGAATAAGGAAGTGCCTGATTCTGGGCTGGGGAAGACTTTGAATACAGTGATACTATGTAGGGAGAGACAGGGTCCAGAGAGATTCCTGTGGCATTACTGTACCAACTGTGAATTGGCTTGTGGTGCTGAGAGGACTGAAGACTGGCAAGGGATTGCATAGTTCAGGTTTCTCAATTCCATGCATAAATGCTACATAGAAGACCAAAAATATTATCTAAATTTTGATTCTGGGGATAATGCTGAGCTCCCCAGCAGAGTTATTTTTGCATACAGTTTGTTATGCATAAAGTGTGTAATTTGAACCCCAAACTTTATTTAAAATGAAATGGTTGTTCAGTTTTTGCAGAATGCTTTTAAATAGTTCTGTTCTAGACATGTTTAATATATATATATAATGAATACGTACATACATTATATATCATTTAATAAACAATCTATAAATAAATAATCTCAATAGATTTAATTCTGTATTAATAAATAATATATAAATATATTATATGACTATATAAAACCTCTTTATTTTGTGTTCTTAATTAAATGTGGTGTGGTTTTTATTCCTATCCTATAGGGCTTCAGTGGAGTCTTTTAAACAAGGAGCACTGAGGGAACAACTTGTTCAACTTGCTTCTAGGCAAAAGAGTCTTTTGATGGTTGCAAAAAAACAGAAGGAACTAGGCCAGAAAATACAAAACTATAGGAATGCAAAGAAAGCGTATTCAGGATGTTCAAAGAAACAAATACCAAACTCAGTTCCTTCAACTGAAAATGACGACAGAGAATATGTCACTCCTGATAAAAGAGTACATCCTGATGTAGTTACAGTTAGTATGGGGCCTGATGCCAGGTTGCTTAATGGAAATAGGTTGGAAGCACATCTCTCTTTAGAAAGTAGATTTTCAGCTCAGGAACACAGCCAATATCAGAACAGCTCCTTGGACGAGGCAGGTGCAAATGAAAGGGCAATTAGAAGCATGGTGGTTTCTGCTCAGGCTTTGGCATCTGAAAACACGGTGAGAGAATGGACCTTTGATAAGATGTCAAAATCAAAGTCTGCAGATGCTATGGAAATGGTAACATTGCTTTCAGAACCTGTTTGCCTTACTCAAAGAGAGTGCTCAGAGCAAAAAAAAATTGATTACACAGGAGTTGCAGTCCAAGGAAGCAAGTCTCCAAATCCCATTGCAGTAACCAGCAGATTAAATATTTCAGAAGCCCAAAACATTGTTGTCAATAATAATATCCATCAGCCAACCACTGATTGTCAACAGGTTCTGCCTGGTAAGAAGCTGCAAAACTACGCAAATAGAAATGAAGTTTCACAACAGCAACCAAGAGTGGTGTCAGAATCCACAGAGAGTTCATCTGTTGGTCTTCAGCAAAATAATAGGACCTCACCTAATGCTAACTTGGAACCCACAAGTTTTGCACCAAATATATTTTATTCAGTAAACATAAATCAGAATCCTTCTTCCCAGTTTTCTCATCATCAGGAGAAAGGGCAACAACTGAGCAACAGAAAATGTAGAAGGAAGAAATGTCAATTGGTAGATTTGCTTGAACTGGGAAAGATCAAGCCAGGAGAAGATGTTTTAGAGTTCAAATTACAGGTAATTGGTTCCCCACCAAAATAAGGTACCTATTAAGAAGTAATGGAAATAAGTTTGTTCTCTAATGTGGGAAACATTAACATTATATGCTTTGTGAAAGCACTGTGAATATTAAGGTTAATCTGCAAATTTCCTTCTTGGCCAGCAGTACACTGTCCTGGTGAAGTTGTGTGCTATACTGGAACTTGCTGGGAAATGGATGTAAACTAAGTAAAGTCCTGGTTTTCTGTTTTCAGCAACTGCATACTTAAAAGTTTGTATTTTGAAAATGCTTGTAACTTGCTGGGCAAAAAATGAGACTATTTAAAAGCATAAAACATGTATTAGAAAAAAAATAGCAGTACCTTATCCCTAAAGCTAGTTGCCAAGCTTCAGGGCTGATCTGTCGTGTGTGTATCCATCAACAGCAGATAACTAGAACAGAACAAGAGTGATTATTTGGACTTCTTAGATAAAGAAAGGCAAGAATAAAGTGACCCTTTTAGGCCTGAATGCTTAGCCAGTATTTAGAGTTTTGCAGGTTTTTCCCATTAGGAAAAGAAAATAATGGTGGAAATGAGTATTTATCTGATATACTCCTGATTTGTTTAAGAAGATAATACATAAGGTCCTGAGCCCCTCAACAGAATAGCAATCAAATTGCAGGAGACAGGTTTCTGTTCCTAGTTCTAAGCCACAGCCAGCACTCTACCCAAAAGCTCTTATTTTTCTCAAGGTTATACTCATGCTATCTGGGTCTTTCTTTTTACCTTTTTGATGTGCTGCTTTGCATTTCTGCTGTTTCTCTGTCACAGATACAGAGCTACAATCGCATCAAATCTCTGCCCTCATATACCTACAGGAAGCCCCTTGGACCTCATAGCCCAGGCATTGATGAAGCATGCCTGCTGTCAGGTCTCCTGAGTAGTTTTCCAGTATTTCACATATCACTAGATAAGGGGCATTTAGTGGCTCCCTCATACAGCAGGAGTAGAAGGCAGGGATCATTCTCAATAGCTTCAACAAGGTGGTGTTTTCTCCCATTCCTGGCATTTTTTTTTAATTTGCAAATGTACTTAAGTGTGCCAATAATCTATTGGGTATCTTCAGTGGTTAATACTCAGTTTGGCTTATACCTCCCAATATTTTCCAGTTTTCTCTTAATAAGACTTTTCCAAAAATTTTAAAGGAAGGTGTTGCCTTGCCAAGCTATTTAGCTAATAACAGCATCAAGAAAACTGGGCATGTAAAATCTTTTGGTTGCATTTACATGATCTGTCCGTTAACATTTGCTGTCATTACTAACAGCAAAGTACAATGTGCAATGCTTGGTTGGTTCTTTATAGGCTGTAATATTTCATCTGGAAAGTTCAGAGGTGGCTTCAAGGGTTTATTTTATGACTGCATGTAGTACTTAGAAGACTGTAAAATCCTTTAAGCCAAAAATGTAACATCAGAGGCTTAATCCTGCTCTTAGGCAGATAAGCATGCTACCCAAATAGCTTGTAAAATCAGTTATTTTGCATGTTTACACGCTAGCTGTTTGTACATGATACACAGTAATGTGCACTGGCCAAGTCTTTGTTAGTATAAAAAAGGCCCCAGCAGCTAAAATATGTAGTAAATTTACAAGTAGAACTGTCTTTGGTGGCATAACAATACTAAAATAATGGGAGCAGTTATTTGTAGTGTCCCAGCTGGCGCCTGTACCAAGTTAATTATCACTCCAATGTGCTAATCTACATACTGAGGGTTCTTTACACCTAACTCAGGGGTATCAAACTCACTTGCACCCCAGGTTGGATTAAAAATGCAGGGCTCCTTGGTGTGCGGGCCGGGAGCAGTCTGAGGCCCTTTTTTCGCGCGTCGGGCTGTGGCCAGCAGCCCGGACACGCCGGGTCAGGGAAGGCAGGCGGCACGCTAGAATTAGGCACGGATGCTTAATGGTTGATTTAAGATTATTTATTTACACCGTAGATGGTTGCAGTGCAGGCTGGAAAACTTCCAGGAAAACTTCGCTTAAGTCCCAGTTTAAGGACTCGGACAGAGCTCTGGATTCACTCGCACAAAGTTTGCTAGGCTCCGTGGAACTTGTGCGCGCAGGGAAGGGTACGTCGAGGGATCGTTCGGCGACGGGGAGAGGCGAGAGGCTGATCAGACCCCTATAGCCTTCTTGATATACACGCTGGGTCCAATAGGCTCCGCAGCGCTTAGAGATCTTCACAAGACGTGAAGTCTCCTCCTCCTGATGTTCATGGAGTCCTCCAACTTGGGCGGAAACCACTCAAGCCTCTTATACGGCTAGCAAGCCAATCGCTAGCCGCCACGTAGGAATAATTTAGAACTGACCAATAGTGGGGCACAAATCTGAATACAAATGGCGGGAACTCCTTGCAACGTGCATTTCTGTGTTGCAACGAAGAAATGCACCCTGCAAAGACAGCTACAAATGGCGGGAAATAATTCAGCAGTGCCGAAGCACACACAAACAAAAAATCACACCCTTGGGTTGTGACACTTGGAAGCTGGATCTAGACTGCAAAAAGCTTCACTGGCCTGATCTGAACCTGGTGGCAGGGTGAGCAGCTGTGTGGGGGTTAACACAACTATCATTCCCCCTTCACCACCAATGTGAACCCTTGATAGGGCTTCATAGCTGGGAATTCTGTAGCAGGCCATGCCTTGCTCATCCTACCCCCAAATTCCCAGCCCCTTTGGGAGCCCCATGGAATGGGCAAAATTGCTCTGTGAGCTGGATCTGGCCCAGAGACCATATATGTGGCACCCCTGACCTAATTTGTTAAGTATGTAGGGAGCCAGCCATAAAAGCAGAGAATTCCAGAAAAGGCTCTTCTTTTTGCACTTGTGATCTACTTATTAAATCTTCATTGGATTTTTTTTTGTGGCTTTATCAGGCTAGTTAATTTGCCACGCACCTTCTAGTTATTTTTTCTGTACTTGCAATCATAGGGTACCTTTACATGTGCTCTGGGGGGGCGGGGGCGATACTTTAATTAGAGGGGCTCTGAGAGCTGCTCTAATTAAAGCACCTCTGTCTTGTATCCCTGGGGTTAAAAATGGCAGTGGGAGTGCTTGAACTAAAGCTCATTCGAGCTTTAGTTCATGTGCCCCTGCCACCATTTTTAAGCACCGGGACACTGATACATGAGATGGAGGAGAATGCTGGAGTGCAGTAATTGCCAAGCTCCAGCAGACTTGATTAATCAAGTCTGTTTCAACATGCTGGAATTCCAGCGCATCAGAGCAGCCTCCACATTCATGTATAGGAGCCCATAGCTATTATGGGTTCAGAAAAGTAGCATCTCTATACAGGATGTGACAGTAGCATAACTAGGGCTGGCTGAGTGGTATACTAGCCCTGGGTCTCAACTTAGAGGGGGCACTGGGATGGCCACCTCCTCACAGGAGACATATGTGGCAGGTAGTACCTAGCCATAGGAGCCAGGCAGGCATAGCCCCATGCCTAGAAGTGTATCTGGGGGAAAGAGGGTGGAATGATGCTCTCCCTCCCTCCCCTGGAAAGTCTTGCCATGGGAGTCACAACCTTGCATCTGGAGTTGGGAGGTAAATGAGGCACCATGAGCAGCCCCCAGGGTGCCCGTGCCACTACCTGCCCCTCAGTGGCAGCAGCCTTGAGCCTATGCTGCTATCAGCATCAGTAGCACCTGCCACTCAAGTGAGGATTGCCCTAGCAGGTAAGATTCCTCTCCCACTCCCTCTCCTCTCCCTTCTCCTTCTCTCTCACTCTCCAGTGGATAGGACAATTTTCCCATTCCCCAGGCACCAAAGGAGCTTGCTACGCCTCTAAATATGCAAACAGTGCTCATTCATCCTATAGGAGTCTGTTATTATGACAGAGAGTAGTGCTTAGGCAAAGACCTTCTGGAGGGTGGGGTGTCATTCTACCCCTCCTCCTTGCCTGATATGCTGCTGAGCATGGATCTGCGCATGCCTGGCTCATATTACTGAGCTGCACATGCCATGGCAAAGCTGTTTGTTGCTTTGTGAAGAGGAAAAGCAAGATAAAGCTGCTTTCTGCTTGAATATGGAAAACCACATGGTGACAAAGTTCAGTAAGTAGTATGTGGTACCTCAGGTTTAAGGTGGGGTACAGGCAGCTGATTTGAATAGCTATAAGCAGAAATGGACCCATGCTATCATAACCAGAAGGAGAATTGAGAGATGGATTCAGAACCAAATCCAAGCTTCCTCTCATCAATGATGGAGAGAGACCCATGCCATAAAATTTGACATAGTAGGTCAGTATTCCATTATTTGATCCTTCTCTCATTCTGCTTTTGACTTCATACCTATCAGACAGCCCTGTTTTTATTAGAACTAAGTTGTTTATTAGACTGTTGTTTCAGATGTGGATGTGCAATAGCTGGCAGATTTGGTGGATATGCTGCAGTTCTTCAACCACAACCGCTGAGTTAAGTACATCTTAACAGTGATAGGCACATTATCAAAGCATGCCTCGGTCACAAGTCTAAAGGATAAGTTGGGGGGTGAAATATCCCGGGCCTTTAAAACCATTTTTACAGAGGGTACCTTGAAAATTACAGACTGATCAGTGGAAAGAATTTTAAAAAAAATCTTTAAGCAAACTATTAAAGCAGTATAATATTCACCATTTTGTGATAAATAGTGAAGCGAAAGTGGCAGTGGTAGAGTGGCTTAACAGAACATTACAATCAAAGATGTGGAGGTATTTTACAGCCCACAATAACTTTTGCTACACTGATGTGTTACCAGAATTTATAAAGCGCTATCACCACAGCTTTCACAGATCTATCTGCGCCAGACCTGTTGATATGAACTCCTCAAACTCTCTGCGGGTGTGGAAAACTGTGAACAAGGAATATTTTAAAATAAAAGAAGCAGTGCCTCTGTCTAAAAAAGGAGACCATGTGGGAGTGACCAAAAGGAGACCAGAAAAGGAGGCCAAAGGGAGATCTGAGAAAGGTTATGAACAAACATTCACCAATAAGATTTTCACA